ACCAAATACAACACCTTGACCTTGGATTTCTCAGTTCCAGCACTGTAAGATATTAATTTTTGCTGTATATAAATTACCCATTTCAAAACATTTTTTATGGCAGCACAAACAGACCAGGCCAGTTGTGGAGACTGATAACTGGTGATTCATTGTTGACAGTGGACAAAAAATGAGCAGATAAAAAACATCACCAGCATTTTGATATGTGTAGCATTTGTTTGCTTGGTTTTGTTTATTTATATTTATTCTGATATCAAGACTCTGCCTCATAAAGGGTAGAAGTAGGAGAGGAAATTCCGTATCAGTGGATAAATACACATGAAGGCATATGATACAGAGACTGTGTTATCTAATAGAAGAAGAAAATTAGTTAAGGTAGGATTTTGTAGATAGTGCAAAAGCCATCTTCGCGCTCTTTTAAAAGGCATTAGAATGGCCTTCCTGCCAATGATCTCCCTGATACCTAGGTATAAATGGATCTGAAATCCCATTAAAGATGCATCTTCTTCCAAGAGCCCTTACCAGGAGCATAAGCCCTTCAAACTCATGTTGGGACTCTCACTTCACCTTTTCTTCCATTTTGTAAGAATCCAGAGTCATCAGAGGCATTGTAAGATCTTCCAGCAATCTTTATTGAGTACGACTAATTCACATGGAGGAGTTAATGGTGGTCATATTACTTTTAACAGCAAGAAGCAATGTGTATGTGGTTAGACATGTATCAGAAGCAATGTGTATGTGGTTAGACATGTATCAGAAGCAATGTGTATGTGGTTAGACGTGTATCAGAAGCAATGTGTATGTGGTTAGACGTGTATCAGAAGCAATGTGTATGTGGTTAGACGTGTATCAGAAGCAATGTGTATGTGGCTAGACGTGTATCAGAAGCAATGTGTATGTGGCTAGACGTGTATCAGAAGCAATGTGTATGTGGTTAGACGTGTATCAGAAGCAATGTGTATGTGGCTAGACGTGTATCAGAAGCAATGTGTATGTGGTTAGACGTGTATCAGAAGCAATGTGTATGTGGTTAGACGTGTATCAGAAGCAATGTGTATGTGGCTAGACGTGTATCAGAAGCAATGTGTATGTGGCTAGACGTGTATCAGAAGCAATGTGTATGTGGTTAGACGTGTATCAGAAGCAATGTGTATGTGGCTAGACGTGTATCAGAAGCAATGTGTATGTGGCTAGACGTGTATCAGAAGCAATGTGTATGTGGCTAGACGTGTATCAGAAGCAATGTGTATGTGGCTAGATGTGTATCAGAAGCAATGTGTATGTGGTTAGACGTGTATCAGAAGCAATGTGTATGTGGTTAGACGTGTATCAGAAGCAATGTGTATGTGGCTAGACGTGTATCAGAAGCAATGTGTATGTGGTTAGACGTGTATCAGAAGCAATGTGTATGTGGTTAGACGTGTATCAGAAGCAATGTGTATGTGGTTAGACGTGTATCAGAAGCAATGTGTATGTGGTTAGACGTGTATCAGAAGCAATGTGTATGTGGTTAGACGTGTATCAGAAGCAATGTGTATGTGGTTAGACGTGTATCAGAAGCAATGTGTATGTGGTTAGACGTGTATCAGAAGCAATGTGTATGTGGTTAGACGTGTATCAGAAGCAATGTGTATGTGGTTAGACGTGTATCAGAAGCAATGTGTATGTGGTTAGACGTGTATCAGAAGCAATGTGTATGTGGTTAGACGTGTATCAGAAGCAATGTGTATGTGGTTAGACGTGTATCAGAAGCAATGTGTATGTGGTTAGACGTGTATCAGAAGCAATGTGTATGTGGTTAGACGTGTATCAGAAGCAATGTGTATGTGGTTAGACGTGTATCAGAAGCAATGTGTATGTGGTTAGACGTGTATCAGAAGCAATGTGTATGTGGTTAGACGTGTATCAGAAGCAATGTGTATGTGGTTAGACGTGTATCAGAAGCGATGTGTATGTGGTTAGACGTGTATCAGAAGCAATGTGTATGTGGCTAGACGTGTATCAGAAGCGATGTGTATGTGGTTAGACGTGTATCAGAAGCGATGTGTATGTGGTTAGACGTGTATCAGAAGCAATGTGTATGTGGCTAGACGTGTATCAGAAGCAATGTGTATGTGGTTAGACGTGTATCAGAAGCAATGTGTATGTGGTTAGACGTGTATCAGAAGCAATGTGTATGTGGTTAGACATGTATCAGAAGCAATGTGTATGTGGTTAGACATGTATCAGAAGCAATGTGTATGTGGTTAGACATGTATCAGAAGAAGTGGGAAAGGTCCAGAAAAAATAAGCAAGCAAGAATAAAAAACAATTGTGTCCTTTCACAATTTTGGACAAAAGTAGACTCAGAAAAATGGTTTTAGAGAAATCTTCTTTGCCACTTTCTAGAATAGTGGCCAGCTTTAGGATTCCATGGAGGCAAAGTTACTGCATGAAATGCTATGTCAATCAACAAGAAAGGATCTACGTGGCTTGTGAATGGAACCCTTGAAATGAATGGAGAAAAAGCTACTGCCTCCCATAATCACTACCTTTTCCTAGTTAATCAGTAATATTACCCTATATTCCCGCAAACCTCCAGGAAAGAAACCTTATCTTCGTTGTTTTCTGAATACTTTGCTAAAGATCTCCTGCTGTTTTCCCAAATTGTTGTCCAAAACTCCAGATTCACCTGGATCTCGAGTCTACAGATCTTGTTTTCACGAAGTTTTTATTATATTCAATGTCTGCCCAACCTCAGGATTCTCAAGAGATCATCTGTGTCTTTTCGTTTTTTTCATACTTTGTTTTCTTTTGTTTCTCCTTTTCTTTATTTTTTAATTCCATAGGTTTTTGGGGGGACAGGTGGTATTTGGTTACACAAGTAAGTTCTTCAGGGTGATATGTGAGATTTCGGTGCACCCATCATGTTGGATCAGAAGCGGAGGCCAAAGACTTTCGAAAATCTCAATGCTAAACGTTTGAAAATAAATTTGCATGGAAGTTGCTGTGATCTCAATCAGGAAAGGATATAAGGGATTATGAGTTGTGTTGGGCTACAAGTTGGGAGTCCACCAATATGGCACTGTTTTCTAGTAGTTTTGGGACTATGCTTTCCACTGAAGTGAAGGAATATTCCCACCACTGATTATCTTGGAAAGCAGTTATTCCAGGGGCAGGGAACGAGAAGGATGAAGTGTAGATGACAGTTTGGCATAAGTAAAATCTTTCTCCTCTATCTGGGACAGAATCAGCGGTAAGGAGGCCCCCAGTATAGAGAGAGGTAAGCCGCCGAAGCAAGGAATCCCAGAGGCACAGCTTTGCACAGCACCCAAGAAGGGTTTCCATATTTGTAAGATTTATTGGCAATATATTTGCCATCTCAATCCCCAGCCTTCCATATATTTTCAAAGCTGCAGCCCAGACTCAGGTGTGCTTGAGGAATTAGGCAAGGGCCCTGTCCTCACGTGGGAGGTGGTCCAGTGTGGTAGCAGCAATGAACTCTAAGAGCAAAGTCACTGCAGTGACAATCTCAGGTCAGTAGCAGTGTTGGCAGCAGAGTGGCTGCAGAGCAAGGAGGCCAGAACAGAGGAAAGGGAAGCACCTGTTCCTCAGCACACTTGAGTTTGTATTCTGCAAAACCCTTAGGCAGGAGTGGAGCATGCGTCATTGCCAAATTCCAGCAGCCCCTGTGGATTGCTTTTCCTTCTTCATCTTATTCTTTCACACTTCATTTCTTCCTTTCTTTCTCCTTCCCCTCATTTCTTTTTTTTCTTTCCTTCCATTTTTTTTTTTGTTGTTGTTGTTAGGGGCTAGAGTTATCTTTCCTTGCATTTGCCTTTCCTTCCTTGTTTTCTATCTACCTTCTTCCAATGTTTCTTCCTTTCCTTTTATGATCTGACTATTGTAGTCCTCTTTCCATTGCAAATGAAAACATCTAATAACCTAATAATGTATTGGCTTGCAAAAAAATTGAGTTTAACTCAACATTTGATTGGCTAACAGAACTGAGGTCTGGAGGGCTCTGTTGAGGCAGTGAGAGGCGCCATTCTTTGCAGTGAGATCATGAGAGCTCTATTCCTCTCCACATGGCTGCCTACTTTTCTCTCTGCTACCTGATCATAAGGCAGGACTTCTCCAGATGACCAGTGGCTACAAATTTATATGATCCCCTTGGAAAGAGAGTGCGTCTTTCCTAGTGATGCAATGAGGAAAAGAGAGTTTTCGGTATTCTTGCCAAACAATACAAAGCAAAATGGTGGGAATGGAGACTATTGTTCTACGTGAAGTTACTCAGGAATGGGAAACCAATTATCATATGTTCTCACTTATAGGTGGGAGCTAAGCCATGAGGAAGCAAAGGCATGAGAATGATACAATGGAGTTTGATTACTCAGGAGGAAAGGGTAGGAAACGGTTGAGAAATAAAAGACTACGAATTGGATTCAGTGTGTACTGCTTGTGTGATGGGTCCACCAAAATCTCACAAAGCCACTGAAGAACTTACTCACGTATCCAAATACCACCTGCACCCCAAAAACCTATGGTAATAAAAAAACCTTTTAAAAAGGAGGGAAATCAGGCAAGCCAACATTAAGGGACATTTCCGAGAACAACTTGCCTCCAGTTTTCACACAATTTCACTGCCATGAAAGACAAAGAAAGGCTGGGAAGCTGTTTCCAGTCATGCAATGTGGCAGGTAGGCAATGTGTGACCTTGGCATGGATCCTGGAATTTAAAATGCTATAAAGGACATTAGTAACACAATTTACTAAATTTAAAAAACAAATATATATTAGATCATGATATTTGTATCAACATTAAACTTCTTGAATTTGATTTTTTTTTTTTTGAGATAGGGTCTCACTCTGTCACCCAGGCTGGAGAGCAGTGGTGTGATCTTGATTCACTACAGCCTCCACCTCTCAGGCTCAAGCGATCCTCCCACCTCAGCCCCCAAGTTCCTGAGACTACAGGTATGTACCACCACACTCATTTAATTTTTCTATTTTTATTACAGACTGGTTTCCACCATGTTGGCTCACGTCTCGAACTCCTGAGCTCAAGCGATCCATCATTCTTTGCCACAAGATCATGAGAGCTCTATTCCTCTCCACATGGCTGCCTACTTTCCTCTCTGCTGCCTGATCATAAGGCAGGACTTCTCCAGTAAGAGCAAAGATGCCTTAGCCATCCAAAGTGCTGGGATTGCAAGCATGAGCCACCACGCCCTGGCCTTGAATTTGATAATTCTATTATAGTTACATAGGAGAATGTTCTTGTTCTTAGAATTTATCTGCTAAAATATTTCGTAATGAAGTATCATTACAGCTGTGACTTTCCTAGTGATGCAATGAGGAAAAGAGAGTTTTCAGTATTCTTGCCAAAAGATACAAAGCAAAAATGTAAAAATGGTGGGAATGGAGACTATTATTCTAGGTGAAGTTACTCAGGAATGGGAAACCAAATGTTTCCCATGTTCTCAAATCATGCAGAAAAAATACAGACTTAATATTCACAGGTGTGTGTGTGTGTGTGTGTGTGTGTGTATGCACCTCCCCACACACTGAGAGAGTGAGAATAAGAAAGAGACAGAACAGACTGAAGTGTTAACATACATAAAAATTGTCAATCTATTTGAAGGATATCAAGATAATTGCTGCATCTTTGCAACTTTAAACTTTGCAGAAAAATTTTGAGGATGTTTTTAAATAGAAACAAAAGCAAACAGTTTCTTTTTCATGGTGTTCACAGAAAGTATCAGAATTCAATGATTTTGGCTTGGCTATATTAATATCACAAGCTATAGCTGGACAAGAGTTGTGGGTCCTCATGGATGGGGAAGCCCATGTCACATCGGTGTTGGTTCAGTGCCACCTAAACAAAGAATGGGGTTGAGGGAGCTCCTAATTGAGGTCCTATCCCCAAATAATGGGAAGTGGATGCTGAGAGGCAAAACAATTGTCTAGTTCACTCTTACCTCCCTTTCATTGTAGGACAAAACTGCACAGTTCTGAAGCATTATCTCCAATGTTTGCCTTAAACTACCATTAAAAGTTTGAGCAGCACTTAATGAGCTCAAAGCAACCTTCACATCTGCGATTCTACAAAGCCATTCCAACTCTTTTTTCCTGTTTAGATGAAAGACAGTGAACTCACTGGCTGATCTTAACACACACATCAATTAATTTAATTGACTTAAGGGTTGTTCTTACATAAAATGCTACTCTTTGAATTGTTTTAAAAGACATCAATTTGTCATAAAAAAAAAAAAACCCCTAACGGAAGCTTTAATTTTTTCCTCCAATTCCTTTAATGTCTGTTTTGCTAAACGCTTAGCAACAAAGGGCTGGCTTGAGTTAGGGCTTCTTTGCCAAGATAAAAATAATCTAAAATTTAGATGTGTCTGCAGTGATCATGGCAGTGTAAATTAATTAGCCACGCTGAGCCTGAATCAGCAGCGTCTCCGAATTGATCTTGCTTTTATGCTGCTCTGTGTTCTAAAATGTGTTCACCCTTGAAAGTAGCCATTCTTGTGATTACTTCTCTTTCCCACTCAGAAATCATAGTTGGCAAAGAAGTTCTTCTTTTTTTTTCTTTATTGTTGAAGTTCATAATAGATTAATAAATATTGGAATTTGAATTTTGTGCCAGCGGCCAAGCTGAAGGCTACATGCCAAGGATGAGGATATAAAAATAAATAAGAGATTATCCCTACCCTGGGGGAGTTTACGTTCTTTTGGGGTGGTATTAAAATATGTATACCAAAAGTTAAATTATGTAATATCCAACAACAAGCCGTGTCATGAGGCAAGACGGGTTTCAATGCCAAGAAATAACTATAAATACAGCTATGCAGAGAAAGTAGTTCATGTTGGGTGACAGGACGAGTCTGAGAAGACTTTCTGAAAGAAGAGCGTTGGAATAACAGTGTTGAATGTGTCTAGATTCCATGCTAAAACTTTATATATCTTTTTTAACAGCTTCAGTGTGGTGTTATTTATATAACTTGGAATTCAATTATTTTAAGTGTACAAGACAATGATTTTTAAGTGAATTCACAGAGTTGTGTAACCACCACTGCGGTACAATTTTGTAACATTTCCATCACCCTAAGGATCTACCTGGAGCTCAGGTCAGTCAATCACTGGTTCCATCTTTAGTCCCAGGGAGCCAGTAACTTGCTACACTTTGCCTTTTCTTGACTTAATGTGTGATCAGAATCACACAAGTAGTGTTTTCTGTCTTTTTTCACTTAATATACTGATTTGAAGGTTCATCTATGTTGTAGTATGTATGACTACTTTGTTCTTTTTTATTTCTAAATAGCATTTCATTATATGGATAAACCACATTTTATTTATCCAGTCATCAGTTGACAGGCATCCGGAACATTTCCATTTTCTGGCTATTATGAATAATGCGGCTATTAATATGCACCTAGCAAATTTGGGGGTAGATATATGTTTTCATTTCCCTAAATACTTAAGAATAGGATTGTTGGCCAGGCGTGGTGGCTCGTGACTGTAATCCCAGCACTTTGGGACGCCAAGGCGGGTGGATCACCTGAGGTCAGGAGTTTGAGACCAGTCTGGTCAACATGGCGAAACTCTGTCTCTACCAAAAATACAAAAATTAGCTGTGTGCGCATGGTGGCACACACCTGTAATCCCAGCTATATGGGAGGCTAAGGCAGGAGAATTGCTTGAACCCAGGAAGCAGAGGTTGCAGTGAGCTGAGATCTCACCACTGCACTCCAGCCTGGGCGACAGAGCAAGACTCTGCCTCAAAAACAAAACAAAACAAACAAATGAGAAAACAACAACAACAACAAAAGAATTGTTAGCACATGTGGCGAACTTATGGCTAACTTTAAGAAAACTGTTTCCCAATCTGGGCTTGTCACTTAACAATCTCATCAGTAGTATCCAAAGGCGAGCTTTACCTATATTATTTCACTTAATTATCAAGTGAGCACTGTGAGGAGGAGAATTTGAGAAAGGAAGAAAGGCTGATTATCTTGCCCAACATTATATCCCACAATTACAGAGGCTGAGTTCTAACAAAGATTTGACTGAATCCAAAACATTTGAATTCACATTCTGAGGCACACTTTTAAGAAGCGCCTTCGAAACTGGATTCCAAGGGTAATAAGCATTGATTAATAATGTCTGCCAAGGATGCAAGCAGGAGATGGGCAGCCACTCTGCTCCCTTTAGCAGCACTGGACAGGTGCACGTGCCTTGGCATTCTGCAATAACATGCAGTTCCTCTCTTGACTCCTCGCTGTTGTTGAAGCCACACTAAAGACTATCTTAGCAAAATTCTCTTCTGAACTCCTCTAGCACAGGGACTATCCTCTTACTACAAAACTGATTGCATTGTATTAGAATTTGTTGTTCAATACCTGTGTCTCCTGCTTGGGAGGAAGTACCTGTTGGAAAGATGATCGCTTCTGTTCAGTATCTCTACCCAATAACAGAGTGCCTCACTTAGAAATGGTGCCCAGTGAGTGCTGCTTTGATTGAATAAATGGAAGAACAAAAGTAAGCATAAAATTAGATTCCTCCTTTCCATTTTAAACATGGTGAAGCAAAGAGATGTGGACTTTGAATAATGTATCACATCTAGAGAGCCAAAGAAGGAGAGAGAGAGGAGCCTTGAGTCCCCACATTTCTTAATCATTGAGAAATTGGCCTCTGTCTGTGACTGCGAAGCAATTGATGCAGCCTGTTAGATTCTGCTGATGCTGGAATGTATCGAGGCAAAGACTTCCAGGATGCGAGGCTCTCCCTTGGTTTAAAGTGAACAAGCCACGGTCTGCCAGATGTGCAGAGAAGAAAACATAGAATCAAGGCTTCCCCAGCAACATTTAAACAAAAAATTAAATACAATGTTTTGACCCAATGCAGTTCGTCAGTGGGGTGGCCTGTGAATGTTATATAAATATATAATCAGCCAAGAAGGATGCAAAGTTATACAACTCAAAAGCGTGGCACTGGAGCTCACAGCCTTCCTTTTCTCTAATCTCTCTCTCAGCAAAAAGCCAAAAGAAATATGTTAACAGTATTCAGTATTAAAATGATGAAACTGTGGTTTGTTTATTCCTGTAATTTCCCATTTTTTCATGAAGAAAATTACAGCAAAATACATATTATTTTTAAGGCTTTGATACTCCTTTGAGCAGTGAATTTTCATTGGTATAGATATATGAAGGACAAGATGTTATTAGATAACAAAATGGTTTTATGCAAACGACACTTTCCATCTCTGTTGGAAAAGCATTAAGCCAGGCTCTCTAATTCCACGAGCTCGTGCCTAGCAGAGGGGAAGGTGAGCATGAAGGTGAGCAGAAGGGGGTTGCAGGAAGGGGGTTACGGTCTGTGAAGGAGCTAGTGGCAGGACTCAGTGTAGTGAACTTGAGAGACTGAAGGCAGAACATCTGGGCTGGGTGCAGTGGCTCATGCCTGTAATCCCAGCACTTTGGGAGGCCAAGGCAAGTGGATCATCTGAGGTCAGGAGTTCCAGACTGGCCTGGCCAACATGGCAAAACCATATCTCTACTAAAAATGCAAAAATTAGCCAGCATGGTGGCACATGCCTGTAATCCCAGCTACTGGGCAGGGAGCTAAGGCAAAAGAATTGCTTAAACCTCAGAGGCAGAGACTGCAGTGAGCTGAGATCAAGCCACTGCACTCCAGTATGGGTAACAGCAAGAATCTGTCTCAAAACAAAACAAAACCAAACAAAACAGTATTTGAGAGCGAGGGATAGCATAAGGTGGAGGTGAGGAGGTAGGTGTACACCAACTCATGGAAGACCTCCAGTGGGGTGTTCAGAATAGGATACAGCTTTGTAGTTTTATACTTACCAAACTTTTCGATGAGTTGTAAGAAAGAACAAGAATATTCTTTACTCAAGTATTCACAAAATTATCTCCGTTGTGAATCACTTACATTTCCTTCTATATATCTTATATCTGTAAGTATGTGCCAGTGTCTTTTTGGGTATACACACACACACACACAAGTATATAATGTACACATGCAATATTAGATTACATAACATATAACATATAAATAGATATATAGATTTAAATATAGACCTAATTTCCTTCATTTGGGGTAAATTGAATTGTCATATCACTTTATTTCTAAATTCTTCAATGT